GTAGCAGAAACGAAGTAGAGTGGTGTTTATCACTGCTGCTGTGTGGCAGGGTTACCAAAAGGCACAATCCAGAGTGCTGCAACCGGATCACACCCAGCCCTGGGAGATGTGTGTTGCAGAACAGGGAATGAAGCTGCACATTTCACAAGTGAGGGAGAGGATGGAGGGTGGAGCCAATGGCCATGTCCTTTCCCTGCCACAGATCTATACTTAGATCTCAGCATTTTCCCTCTAACACAAAACACATAAAAATCCACAGAGAGTATCCTGGGGACAACACACCATCAAAAGCCTTATGGATGGCACTCCAAATTAATGAAAGGTAGAGAAGAATCCCTATGGGTGATTGAAACAAAACAGATAACTGTTAAACAGTGCACTGACGCTAATCTGAAAGAAGCCCAAAGCGATCGGTCAGTTGAGTTTGACAGAACAATGTGGATTTTACTGGCTGACATCTCTCAATCACAATCTTACAGTTTCTAGGCAGAAAAATCTTGTCACATGAAACAGCCATTCTCTAGCATCTAGTCAGCCAGTAAAGATAAGTAGCAAGTATAGGCAGAGATTTGTCTATGAAAGACAATTCCATGTGCCATGCAGAGTTGGTGTAGTTCATTGGTTTGTATTGGTTCATTGGTTGGTATAGTTCATTGGTTTATTCTGTATCTGTTTAAGCTGGTGATCTCTGCTGCTTCTTTATACAATAGCCTTTATTTTGTCCCATTACTGCAAAAACATTCTTTCAAAATGCTTTAAACAATAATTTAACAAGAACAAGGTATATTTATTGGCCTACCAGCATGCCTAGAGAGTGTCTCCCAAAGCTATTTGTGGTTGAATATCATGACACCAAATTGCCTGAATAAGGGGTAATAACATGCCATTACTAGTAATAATATGCCAATCTACAGTTCTTCCTAGCCAGAAAGAAACCACTGAAATTGCATGTCATATATATATATATATGCTCTCTAATATAAAAAGCAGAAAGTCAAACATCAAAACAGCTAAGAACATAAAGAACAGACTAAAATTTAACTGACAGCTCAAATGTTACTGGATATGCTGCAAAATAAAAGAAAAAATAATGTAATGGCAGAAAATGAAGTCATTGTCATAATAAAATTTGCACATATATAAATAAAATTCACATTCAAACTGAGCCTGAGAATTTTAAATTCCTTGTAGAATCTTGCATGGATTTGATTTTCAGGGTCCTGCACTTCCTGGTACAACGGGTCAAAGATTGCCCCAGTTAGTAGCTGTGAACAGGGGCAAATTAGGATGACAAAGCTGTTTTGCTTTCAGCTAGTAACAAGGTTTACTAAACATGCCTGGATAATTCTTATCTAAAGCATGCAATTCCTCAGTCCCAGGGAAAAGTGCAGAACCTGACAGTGATGGCTCAGAGGAAAAGGGATAGTAGCAGTGCTGATTCAGGTATGAGAATTACTGAGGGCCCTGACAGTGCCAGAAGAACTGCTCCATCTTCAGAAAACAACAACAGTGTATCAGCACCAAGGCCTTCAGCAAACAATCAAACCATTTAAGACACCAACTACTCTCCAAAATGTTGTGGGGAGTCTGAATTCAGCAGTCAATGATATTTTGTACCTTTCAGAAAGTCACATACAAAAGCAGTGAGAGGCCTTAAACATCATATTTCACTAGGTTCAGCATTTAATTGTTGTTATTTCAGCTGCTTGGTCCTTTCTGTTAGGAGTTCTTTCTCAAGAAAAAGAAAAGAAATTTCTTCATCTACTGCAGAGACCTGGCTGTTAGTAGTACTCCAGAGCAGGAGAGGTAATTCAGACCTGATGCTGCTCCATAGCAGAGTAATAAAGAAGCATCCAATCAATGGCTTTGTCTTCTATATAAAATAAATTTAGCTGTGCTCTTTGCATACTCACAGGTCTCCATCATACCCCAAATACCATCAAAATGTTTCTTATTTCCAGCCCATAAATAGAATAGCTAATGCAGTTTAGATTTCTATTCTGTAGCTCCCCAGTAAAGGCTTGCCTTGTTTATAACAACACGGCTTGCGAAGCACTGTAGCCTAAAAACTAAACCAGGCTGCCATAATATGCTGGGTATAGTCCACAAAACATCACTCTGCTGAAGAGAATTCACCTCCCAGTACTCTTCTCAACACACACCACACACAAATGGAGTCACTACTGGAGTACAGTCAGAACACCCCAGGAAACCACATCATCTACTAAAACACATACATATAACCAGCATCCACAGTTTAAAAATCCAGTGTAAGAGCTAATTATGAATTTTAGGGATGCTAACTACATCTCCAGTGTCCTAACTGACAGAAGTTACTTCATACTAGATATCATACATTGAGTATTTGGATTAATTTCTCTTCCATTCTCTACTTAGAACTGTTACAGATCTGCACCATGAGCACCCATGACCAGCTCAGAGTTTGTTCTGTCCATGGTTTCAGAGTACTGAGATGTAGTATGGTGCTTTGCTATCTGAGTTTTTATATGGTAAATGGAAATTAGATATCAATGTTGATAAGACAGAATTATCATTAAAGATATGCATAAATAGTCTTAAAATACATATTTTAAAAAGGAACAAGAACATTTTTCTTTAAATAGTCACAAGAATAAAAACCTTAGGCAACAGATTGGATATTTTTGTTGAGTCTTCAAGAAAGAGACAGAAAACAAAAAAATTCCTTCAGAACCCATCACTCAAAAACCTATAAACAAAATTGTTGACAGATATAAAAGGTCAAAACACATTTTCTGAGAGCAGAAAAAATTATACAACTGACGGAGACAAAAGATTAAATTGCAAAGATACCCTAGTGCAAGCAGAGTTCAATCCACCCTTTCAGAGCATATCGGCACATCTCTCTGCTCTCATATTTGAAAGACAAAAATCCAGCATATTTTAAATAAATTGCATTTAACTTAAGAAAAGGAGAAAAATAAATTTAATAACAGCTCCAAAAAATCAGTTACATGTGCAAAAATTTTCATAAGCGGGTAGGCTGAGATAGGCAAGAAGCTGGAAGGGGACACAGACGGGACAGCGGATCTGATTTGGCCAAAGGGATATTCTGTACCCTGAAACATCATGCACAGTAATAAAAATCGTGTAGAGGAAGAAAGGAGGATTGCTTCCAAGTTGGTCATTGCTCAGAGATTGGCCTGGCATTGCTCCATTTATGGGAGGTGCTGAGTGGCCGCCTTTGCATTACTTGAGGTTTTTCCACCCTTTCCTTCACTTGTTTAAACTGTCTTTATCTCAACCCATAGGTTTTCTCCCTTTTGCCATTCCTATTCTGCCCACTGTCCTCCTGGAAAGATGGGGTAGGGAGGAACAAATGGCACTGTGGGCACCTGGCTGGAGTCAATACAAAACATAGGAGAACATAAATACACCTGGTCTCTCTACATATTTCAGTAAAGCTCATTGAAATATTTTTTTACCATGTAGTCATTCAGGAAATACAAACATCCCAAACATCTTTTACCACTTTTTAATATTTTCTTCTTTTATTTGGTGATGGGGTGGGTGGATGCTGTGTTTTAATAATTGTTGTACAATTCTGTAAGGTCTTTATTAAGTATACACATGTGATATATTTAAGTTTAACAAAAATTCAATACTTTACCATGAAATATGTTTTCACTGAACTGGCTATGCTTCTTTTCAGCCATTGTGGGTCAATTTGCTGTTGCATTCTCCAAGACAAGGTCTCAGAGGCTTCTGATTTTCCTTTCCACTGGGTCCAGTAATATTCTGCACCACACCCCAGCCACTAGAATTTCCAAGCTAAAGACTTGCAGGCAGCTAATAAGTTAATTTATTTTTTATCTTATATGTTGAAATTTACCTAAGCAGATGTAGGATTGTGAAATGGTTTGCTTTTGAAGCAGTAATGCTCACATTCACCTGGTCAGACTGTCAGTTTTCAGTTTATGTGAATGGACAGGCAGGAATGACCTGTGCACAAGCTAAGATTAAAATTAAGACTTCAATTTTAAGAAAACCCATGAACAAGAAAGCCACTTTTATTCACTCATCTTTATCATTAAAGTGCCAAAATCCACAACTCTTTTTTGTACATAGCACAACACAACCTTTACTTACTTATGCTTGCAGCATACTTCAATAAGAATCAAGCTTAATTTCCTTATGAAGAATGAACAGCTTTACTTCCCATACTTTTTTTTTTTAATTGAGATTAAACAAATATATTATATTGGATGAGAGCTTGAAAAGAACTGACTGTCATTAAGAAACGGATGACTACTTACATAGCCTTAAAACTTTTTTTCTGTAGTTCAGAGAAGGCTAAGTACTACTCTGATGACTTCATCAGCAACATGGAACATTCTGCTGCAATGTCAGAGCTTGGGTGGGAAATAGCCAAAAGTGCAAGCTCTGGCCATTAGCATTTTCATAGGAAAAGGGGAAACACAAAAGCTTCCAGGGAAAAAAGAGCATTCTGTTTCAGCTTGAACTACACTGCAAGAACTGACTCGAACACTAATTAAATTGAAAGCATTAATTCTGCAGAGTTCAGCTCAAAATACCAATCATTTCATTGACAGGCTTTGTCATTCTCACAGAAAGTTAAGACCTCAGATATTAACTGTATTCATAGGTTAAAAGACAGTAATTTAAAAGGTAATCTTTTGCACCTTATCAGTACTCCACAATAGACACTTGACTGATCAGGAATGGATTTTAACCCCAGAATTAATAAAGCTCTGAAACTCTTCAGTGAATAATTTAGGATTTTCAATAGCTATTCATTAAATAGTTGCATTTTTCATAGATAGATGTAGTATATAATGGGATTAGGGACTCAGGGACAGAGCTGGAAAAACATTCCAGAGCCAAATTCTCTCTTGAAACCAGAACTCAGTTCTGCACAATCTCAGATACTTCCTAGCCCTAAAACATTCCATTCCCATAAGCATTTCATATTTCAGTATCAAATTCCTGTCAGTTCTTACTGTTTTGCTGGTGGGAAAGTCCAGAATCTCCATCTTCTTGCAAGCACCAAGCAGTTTGGCACTCAACTCTGTCAGGACCCAGGAGCACAGTGAGGGTATCACCTGGAGAGCTTTTATTTCCTCATGCAACTGGTGGTAAATTGGTCTGCTGGTGGCAGGTGGAGAGGGATGGCCTCTGCCTCACTTGCTGGGTTGTTTCCTTCTTGTGCCTTCATCTGGATTCATGAGTATTTCTTGCTTTTGCCTTCCAGAGAAGGGGGAATATGGAAGGGGAACAGAAAGCAGGTGACTGGGTGGGAATTTAGTTGCTAGCTGGGTTCAACTCACCACAGCAGGAAATATTTAACATTTAACATTTCAAAGCATAAGGTTACAATTCTCAAGTCAAGAAAGCAAAATGCAGAGGACTTCATTCTGACTTCAGAACTTCGGTTTGGTATGTAACAGAGAATTTCTTCAGTGCTTCCCCCAGTGAAATAATTATAGCAGATTGGCATTTAAAAAAATAATTTCACCAACACTGAAAATAGTTTCCAGTTACCTCACATCGCAGATATTCTAACTATCCTTGACTGCCGTATTGGAAGCACACAAATAAGATGACAAGTACACCAGGGTCTGGAAAAGATTCCTGACCTTAAACCAAAAAGCAAGTCTTCAACCTGCTGCCAAGCCTGTTACCACGTGATTTTTGGCAGCTGAATGGTACTTCAGAGCAAGATCACAACTGCTGTCACACAGGAAAGCCTGTAATGTAATTTCCACCTCAGGCTGAGGACTAAAAGACATCATTCACAGTCAGCAGCTGCCCAGCCTTCATGTTCTGAGAGGTCCAGCTGGAGAAGGAGAGTCTTTAGTCCTGCTGGGCAGAGTGTGTTCAGCACAAAACACAGCAGCTACACTGATTATTACAGAAACTTGAGCTCAGTCTTTAGATATCCAAAGCCTTTCTTCTAGCCCTTCAGACTAGCATCCTAACTACCCTGAGGTCCTTGATAAAGACAAAATCCTCGTCTCCTGCACCACCCTGGAGCACAGGCACCTCCTTTGCTTGGGCATTGACTGTGCTCTGTTCTGCTCTCTTTGGTGTCATCACGACAGGGCTCTGATGCTCGGGAAGTGCATGCAGCACTTCTTCCTGCTGCAAAATACTTCACTGATGCATGATGGTTTTAAAAACCATTCTGGTCTGTCACTAAAGACTAAATTGTGTTTAATGCACAGTCTGAGAAATTCTGCATATTGGTGGGTTTTTTTTCTCTCCCACATTTTTAGAACTGGTAACAAATGCCACTGACTGGATTCGTTCAGTTGGAAGGTCGTCTTGTTTTAGCTAGGACCCATATCCTTTGTCACCATGTCCTCAGATACATTCAGCAGCAGGCCCACACATTCCCTCATGTTCATTCTGCTGCTAATAAACTGGCAGAAGCCATTCTTGTTGCCCTTCTTGTTGCTGCTTCCCTTCCAGGGAAGGGCACATTCAACTTCACCTGGCTTTGGCTTTCCTAACCCTGTCACCAAGCATACTTGGGCCAGGCCTTCATGCTCCTCCCAGGCCATATATCCCTGCTTCCACCCCTCATATGCTTCCTACATTTTTAAGGCCTCCTTATAAATATATATATGTATGATGGATTAAAAAAAAAATTACTGTATTTACAATTATGTGTGTATGTGTGGTTTCAGTGCCACAAAAATATTCTCAGCATTAATCAACCCAGAAGAGATAACCTACATATTAAATGCATCCTTTTAATGCTCCTGTAGCAGGATTCAACCACTAACAACAAATTAATCATGTTCTGAGGTGAAGCAATTATGCAGTTCCCCATGTAATCAATAATCAGTGCAATCATTTCCAACCCTAACTTCTGAGGTAGTCCTGATTTCCCTAGAAAAAACTGCACTGCTAAAACTAGCATGACTCATATGCCAGGGCAATCACTTGCATCCTCAGAATTGCTGGTTGTCTCACTGAGATTATATGACTACATAAATGTTTGAGTAGCTCATTATCATGAGGCTTCTGATTTTTGAATGGTCTTGGGAATCCAAAGAGATCCCCATCAACGGGGGGCTGCTTTTCCTAATTTACAGGGTCAAGAAGAATATTTCTGGAAACAACAGGCCTGTCAGTCTCACTTCAGGGCCTGGTAAAATTACAAAAAGATTATTCTAGGAGTTACTGGAAAACACCTGAAGGGCAACACAGTCATTGGTCACAGCCAGCACAACTTCACAGGACGAAAGTCCAGCATAATCGCCAGTATTCTTCAATGTCTTCATAAATTTCTTGTAAGATTAACCAAAAAGTACACTAAACAAGCTTGCCTATGACAGATATTTTGGAGGAGCTGCTGACTCCCTTAAAAGAAGAGAGGTCCTGCAAAAAGATCCTGCCAAATCAGAGGGTTGGGAAATCACCAACTATATGAAGTTTAACAAGGGCATATGCTGGATTCTGCACTTGGAATAAAGCAACCGTGTTGCACATGTTGACTAGCGTGTTGGAGACTGGAGAACAGCCCTGCAGCAAGAGACCTGGAGATTCTGGTCCATGACAAGTCGAACATGAGTCAGCAGTGCCCTGAAAGCCAGGAGGGCCACCCATGGTGGGTCACCAGGCACAGCATCACCAGCCGGGCAAGGGAGGGAATTGTCCCACCCTGCTCTGCACTGGGGCAGCCTCACCTTAAATATTGTGTGCATTTTTGGTATCAGAGCATAACAACTCTGCTTGATTTGTTCAACATGGAGAAGGGGAAGGGGACACTTCATTGCAGTCTACAGCTTTCTCTTAAGGGGAAGCAGAGGGGCAGGCACTGATCTCTTCCCCCTGGTGACTAGTGAAAGGACCCAAAAGGAGCAGCATGAATCTGCATCAGGGAAGATTTAGACTGGATATCAGGAAAATATTTCTCACACAAAGGTTGATTGGAGACTGTAACAGGCTTGCCAGGGAAGCAGCCACAGCACTAAACCTGCCAAAGTACAAGGAGCATTTGGACAATGCTCTCGAGCACATGATCTCTTTCTTAAGGCTATCCTGTGCAGGGTCAGGAGTTGGACTTGATGATTCTTGCTGGTCCTTTCCAACCCAGGATATTCTTAAGATTCTGTGAATATGTACAGAAAAATAACCCTTAGAACATCTAAAAGGTGCAAATCCAGTGGTTTTTAGAGAAGGGTTCTGCATTTTTGATGATTTTTCCCTACTCATTCTAGGCAACATCTGCTTAGCACTATTGGGAAACATTCACAAATGTTATCTTGTCAAAGCAGCTATTGCATCTTCTTAAACAACAGTTGTAATAAATCTGTTTATATATCCACTGAGAGTTCCCAGAAGGATCTCTGAGGAGCATTTACTCCAGCCTTTGTTTCATATCAGTTCTGGTTTGATCAGTTTCTTCAGATATTTACCTATTTAAGATTTGGATAACCCCAAGGAGAAAAGTTCTGTGTGGAGCCTCTCCGGGAAACATGGTCCTACATTTGATCATTACAATGGTAAAGCATATATTTGATATTTAATTTGAATTTTCTGTTGTTGTACCTTTCTGTTGTGTCCTCATTCCTATTTAGAGTGCACAAGAAGGGTTCAGCTTCACCTTCTCTGTAGCTTTCCATCAGGCAGCTGATAACAGCAGTAAGGTCCCTGGTTTAACTTTCTTATGACTGAGCAAACCCATTTCTCCTGCACATTATACGCTCCATTCATTTTAGTGCCATCTGTTAGATTTGCTCCACTACATTAACATCTTCCTCACACTGGGAATCCAAAACTGTAGTTTAGATGGGGATTCACAACTCATAAGTCAGGGGGCTGAAGCACTTTTTACACTGCCAGTTACCCTACACTCATGTGGCACTCTAGCTAGTCACATTTGCCTAAGTGGCACTGACTGGGTGCACCTGCTTCATATATTCTTAACACACTCCCCTCTCTGCACTTTAGAAGGAAGCCCAACAGGATGTAAAGTTAGAGCTGTAGCCTTAAATTCCATTGTCTGGGGATGGAAGGACTATTTGATTTGCTTTGTTTATTGTTGATGGACTACATCAACAATAAACAAAGACACAACAAGTTTTGTGTCTTTTAATTCTGTAATTGCTCCAGAGCAATGAGGCTGTTTAGACTCATGCCACAATCTGGACTCTTGTCCAGTTCTAAATATCTAAATTACCAACTCCATTTTTCTTAATCTCTTTTATTACATAATATTTTCTACTATTGGCAAAGAGCTGCAGAATAGCCACAATGGCAAGCACCCTGTAAATCATAAGTCACATGGATTGCCAAAGGATGAAATTGTGAGTTTGCTTTTCTTGGTAAAAACCTAGCTGAAGAAAAACTAATGTCACTATTTTGATAATAAAAACTGTGGAAGAATAATAATTTATCATAAAAGACATTGTTTAGGAGTAGGAGTCAGAAGACAATTTTGTGGATAATCCACACAATAGAAGACATGGATGAGATTGGGCACATTCAATTCCATATATGGTCCAGTATAAGATGGAGCAAACTAAAACACAAATATAAAGTATGCGTCATAGATATAACTTAACCTTTATCTTTGCTTAAATTAAAGTTGAAAGATTCTTTGAATGGACTGGTGGCTTAATTTCAAAATTTTTATTGGTTCATCACAGACTTTCTTTCACAGACTCCCCTGAAATCTCTTAGATTCCAGAGAAGATAGTCATGTGAAAGAGGTTCAATACAGACCTCCTGGAAAGCCACTCCAGGTGGATTATAAATTCTTTGCCATTTGCCTCAATGCATCCACCCCACTCAACTTATTTTTTAAAGTCTCAGTAAAATGCCATACGACTTAATCAGAAAACCAGCTATCACTAGAAATAGAAAAATGTCATTTCTGAAATACAGATTCGATAATAGTGGTTGAACTCAAAAGATCTCGAGCGCTGTTCCACACTTCTGGAGTACCCTTCTTCAATAAATGCATTCATAAAAGAAAGCAGCAGTATGATGGGTCAGTAGCTAGAATAGGATACACTGGAATATATAAATAACTCTCACATAGTAGCCACTCACATTATTGTAAAGTAGAAATAAACTAGGCCATCAGGTAGTTCTTACCCTACAGAAGTAAAACCTACTGAGGGAAGAGCCATTTTGCCCCATGTCCAACACAGCCCATGGTGAAGTACCAGATAAAATCACAGCACTACACCTGTGAGGGACAGGAAAAAGTGCTGGAGGTGAGAAGCAT